AGTAGCTGGGATTACAGGCATGCGCCACCATGCCCAGCTAATTTTTTGTATTTTTAGTAGAGACGGGGTTTCACCATGTTGACCAGGATGGTCTCGATCTCTTGACCTTGTGATCGACCCGCCTCGGCCTCCCAAAGTGCTGGGATTACAGGCTTGAGCCACCGCGCCCGGCCCACATAGCTCAATTTTTAAAAAGCAAAGATAAACATCTACTATTAAACAATATTTTCTGGGAAACCAAAGAGTTTGGAAAAAATAAAAAATAAATAAAAATAAAAGCAATATTCAAGGTACACTAATAAATTTAAAATATATATAATTATAAAAGAGTATGTTCACTTAATACTATTTTAAGATGCAATATAAACACAGGCATAAGTCTACAGTTGCACTGTCCAAAATAGTAGCCACTAGCCACATGTAGCTCCTTGAATTTGAGTTTAAATTAATAAAAATAAGTTTAAAAATCAATTTCAGGCCGGGCACGGTGGCTCACGCCTGTAATCCCAGTACTCTGGGAGGCTGAGGTGGGTGGATCACGAGGTCAAGAGATGGAGACCATCCTGGCCAACATGGTAAAACCCTGTCTCTACTAAAAATACAAAAATTAGCTGGGCATGGTGGCACATGCCTATAGTCCCAGCTACTCGGGAGGCTGAGGCGGAAGAATCGCTTGAACCTGGGAGGCAGAGGTTGTAGTGAGCTGAGATTGTGCCACTGCTCTCCAACTGGGTGACAGTGCAAGACTGCGTCTCAAAAAAAAGAAAATTAATTTCTGGCCGGGTGCAGTGGCTCACACCTGTAATCCCTACACTTTGGGAGGCCAATGCAGGTGGATCACTTGAGACCAGGAGTTCGAGACCAGCCTGGCCAACATGGTGAAACACTGTCTACTAAAAATACAAAAATTATCCAGGTGTGGTGGCACATGCCTGTAATCCTAGCTACTCAGGAGGCTGAGGCAGGAGAATCACCTGAACCCAGGAGATAGAGGTTATAGTGAGCCGAAATTACACCACTGTACTCCAGCCTGGGCAACAAGAGCAAAGCTTTGTCTCAAAAAAAAAAAAAATCAATTTCTCTGGCCTATTAACCACATATCAAGTGCTCAATAACCACATGTGGCTAATGGCTACTGAAATGGAAAAGGAAACAGATATAGACCATATGCACAAAGTTCTACTGGATAGTACTAGTCTAGAAAGCACACACAAGCAGATAAAAGTGATTTTATCTCTAGTGGCAAATTTATGGTTGCTTATCTTCTTATCCTTTTAAAAATGTAGTGTATAGTTCCTTCTCATATATATTATGTATGTGATTTTTTTAATTACTAAAATCCTTTCTAACTTTATAACAAAGAATTCTTAGACGTCTAAACATTCATTTGCCTCTTGCCCCAAAAATCTTTACTATGTTTTGCTTTTTCTTTTTTCATTGCTCTACATTTCACAAGACTCATCTTTAATGTAAATTAATACATTTACAAAAGAAAACATCTGTACTGGTGAGGAATTCTTTAAGTAGTTATACTCGGAAGAAATTCTGTCAGTATGGTTTCTACAAAAAAGCTGTAAAATGCATGAAAAAATATGTAATCCTATGTTTTAGATAGAGAAGACACACTTTTCTCTTTCTCAGTAAATACTTAATTTAAATGATATCTTCTCATCACCAATAGCTAAATCAACTGATAAAAGTGTATTATTCATATTCCTATCCCTCCGTTCAACAATATTTACTGAACGTCTTCCACCTACCAAGTGCTATAGATTCCAAGTCTCCACTCTCAACCAAACAAAAGGCAAACAAAGGGTAGAGAGACAGATAAACAGGCAAATAAACCTATGACAGGTGGTGACAAGGCCATGAAAACAACAAAACAGGAGTCAGGCCTGGTAATCCCAGCACTTTGGGATGCCAAGGTGGGACAGTTGCTGAGGCAAGTTCAAGGGCCAGCATGGCAGCAAAGTGAGACCCCGTCTCTACAAAAATAAAAATACATAGACATAAAAACAAATAAACTAAAAATAAATAATACAATAAAATAAAAAGTAATAAAACAAAACAGGGTTGGAAGGAGGAGAGTGGATGGAGGCATGGAGTATACTACACTGTATATAGGGCACTCAGGGGAAACTGCTCTGAGAAGATGACATTTGAAGAGACCAGAAAGAAGCGAGGGAAGAATCCATGTTTCAGGCAAGGGTAAATGGAGTTCAGAGGGCCTGAGTTGGGACCATGTTTGCCATAATTCAAAAAACAGGTAGTCAGTGTGGCTAGCGTGGAATAAGTGAGGGGGAATAATAGGAGATAAGGTCAGAGAGGCAACAGGGGAAACCTTGAGGAAGCTCTGTAGACCATGGAAACGGACTTGGTAAGAAGATGAACAGTTAAAGGTACAAAGAGAAGAGGATCATGCACATCTCTGCTTGGATATTAAGAAGCCCCATCCAAGGGGGGGGAAATTGAAGAGTTCATCATCTTAATGAACAGCAAGAATAAGCAGCTTTATTATCCTTAAACTGTTATATGTCAACCATCAAGCAGGCCCTGTCAAAAGCTACAAAAGACCTAATCACCTAAAAAGCATTAGAGCTGCCATTGCCTCAACACAGGAAAGCAGCAAAGAAGGAAAGGGATAAAACCACTTCTAACAAAACATGATAAATAATTAAGTATGGGCCGGGCGCGGTGGCTCAAGCCTGTAATCCCAGCACTTTGGGAGGCCGAGGTGGGTGGATCACGAGGTCAAGAGATCGAGACCATCCTGGTCAACATGGTGAAACCCCGTCTCTACTAAAAATACAAAACATTAGCTGGGCATGGTGGCGCGTGCCTGTAATCCCGGCGACTCAGGAGGCTGAGACAGAAGAATTGCCTGAACCCAGGAGGCGGCGGTTGCGGTGAGCCGAGATCGTGCCATTGCACTCCAGCCTGGGTAACAAGAGCGAAACTCAGTCTCAAAAAAAAAAAAATAATAATAATTAAGTATGAATGGGTGTATTCAAGTATTCAAAGGACTCTGACCACTTTCTGTCCTATCAGGTTTTTATCTCCAAGACTTTTCAGGAAGTTTTAAATTTAAAATCTTTAATTCATTACTTGATTGAAGGCCCATAATAATTACCTTTTTGTAAAAAGACATCAAGTTGATCAGCACAAAAGGCTTTTAATTCTTTCTCAGGTTTGTCCTTCTTGACCAGTGCTACAACATAGTTGGCTAAGGCTGAAGGATCAGCATCACATCTAGTTAGACAAAGAGAAAACAAAAATTTTTAAAAACACTTTTTTTCAAACAGTAGTGTCATTAACGAAGTCACCCTTATTTTGGAAAACCAGAGATCAAAACTGTATTCTAAAAAGTGACTGCAAACACCGACAACTTTTATAATAAACATATGCATACTGTGAGATCTTCCTTTTGCATTTATTTCTATAAAATGATTAGTATGCCTTCTATTTTTAAGGTTCTAACTATACCAAGGATCTTGGGTGAGCTCTACATTTATTTGTTCTCTCAGTGATAATAGGGAAAAAGTGGCAATTGACCCCTAAGTTGCTATTTGGCTCCCAGCTATAGAAGCACTGTCAGTAACACCCTCAGGAACTATCTGTTCCAGGTGATCGATGAGCAAAAGGAAGGGAAGTGATGGGACCACTTTCTCCTCTCCTCAAGATACCTCTCTCTACAGCTTAGGCACCAGTATCTAAAAATGGCTACCAGCCCCTCTGCTAATCTCAATGAGTATCTTAAAGATCTTTTTAAAAAATGAGAACGTGAAAGAATGGCACTTAAATATTATTGGCAAATGCTTTAGCAGCTATAAGAAAGAAAGATAGATAGATGTAGGAGTTAGAAAGGAAAAGAGAAGTGGTAAAAGGACAATGGAGATAATCTTTATCTACCTCACATTTTTTCTAGTAAGTAATCCAACACTGATACTCAAAATCATCTCCCATTCCAGGACAGCACATAATCCTTGGGCAGTCAACTCTTGATGTACAATAATCTGTCAGACTTGAAGTTTTATGTACATCACATGAAACTAAAAGTTTTCTTGTTGTAAACATATATTTAAACACACACACACACACACACACACTCATAAAATATTCTAGACTTCCTGATGAATACATATTTAAACATCACATATCCTTCATAGAATGGTTGGTTGTGAAGGTAAAATGAAAACATTCAGCCTGGGTGTAATGGCTCATGCCTGTACTCCCAGCACTCTGGGAGGCCGAGTCAGGAGGATCATTTGAGCTAAGGAGTTCAAGACCAGCCCAGGCAACATGGCAAAACCCTGTTGCTAAAGAAAATACAAAAATTAGCCAGGTGTGGTGGTACATGCCTGTAATCCCAACTACTTGGGAGGCTGAAGTGGGAGGATGCTTGAGCCTGCTAGGCAGAGGTTGCAATCAGCCAGAGGTTGCAATCATACCACTGCACTCCAGCCTGGGTGACAAAGTGAGACTTTGTTACAAAAAAAACAAACAAAAAATTCAGAATAACAGTAAGTAAAACCATGATGCAAGCAAAGTGATTACATAACCTATAAAACACTATTCAAATCTAACTAATCTTGTTCTGTTATCCTTGGGTCTTGTTGCCAGCCAGAAAGTTAAAAGGTTTCAGCTCACTTGGAAGGCAGAGGCAAGAGGACAGCTTGAGCCCAGGAGTTGGGGGCTGCAGCGAGTCATGATCCTGCCACTGCACTCCAGCCCAGGCAATATAGTGAGACCTTGTCAAATAAAAAAAAAAAGAAAGAAAGATCTTAGCTCAAGAGCATCAATCACATTTCCAATAACTTTATGAGATTAGTAAACAAAATAAAAACCAAGCACCAGTACCTTTATTTCCTTCTAATTTTTATTTTTAAAGTTCATAATTCAGTAATTTTTTATTGTCAATATTAACACCATCATAGGAAAGGCTGGTTCTTTAAACATCCATGCACCAAATTCCAAGAGAGAAAATTTCAATGACTGTTCATTTTATAAAACTCAGCGCTAGCTCCTGTAATCCCAGCAGTTTGGGAGGCCAACGTGGGTGGATCATGAGGTCAGGAGATTGAGACCATCTAACACAGTGAAACCCCATCTCTACTAAAAATACAAAAACTTAGCCAGGCGTGGTGGCACACACCTGTAGTCCCAGCTACTCGGGAATCTGAGGCAGGAGAATCACTTGAACCCAGGAGGTAGAGGTTGCAGTGAGCCAAGATCACACCACTGTGCTCTAGCCTGGGCAACAGAGCAAGACACCGTCTCAAAA